TCCGTCCATCCGTTTGTCCAGGCGATAACCCAAATACTGCTATGATCTCCCCAGCATATTCTTTCGTGGTGCAGCGCCCATCTCAACTGAAAACTGTGCCTACAATGCGCCTACCTCAAAGTCACTCTCAAACTCTCTAAACACCTAAAATCATCAAAAATGTGAAAAATGTCAGAAAAATCAAATATTTTTACATTTTCTTTTCATTCCTCTCGTGCTTTGAGTAAGAAGTGAAACTAGCTTTCAAAATCTGTTACGCATATCCCCGGGTCAATATGTTACTACAATTCATTCATAATTTATTATCGTGCCTTTCGGGTCCATATATGGCAAAGAAGGTTGGCATGCGTGTGGTTGGTTGACATGGCTCACTTTGCATAAGAAATACAAACAACTTGTTTGTTTGTAAATTAACACAAACTGTTTAAATATTCGCAACAAATGCTTCATAACTAGCTTTGCACCATTACAGATATTGCGTATCAATTTCATAACAAAAAATTTGTAAGTTATGATTTATTTAGCTATTATCTGTGATCGATGATACAATTGATTCTCTAAATAAAATATGAACGTCAACTCTTAAATCGTTCGTAGTGGTCAGAAAGGAGTTCCGAAAGTTTCAATACCGTGAGACAAAAGTCCGATTTCATACCTTCCGAAACCATTCCGCCACAGCCCTAAATAGTCTTGTTTCCATTTAAAGTCAAACCTCTGTCTTTAAATATGGCTGTCATTTTTTATTTTTGGAATTTTTGTTTGTCTGTGAACAATATGCAGAATGTTTTAAAACCTCTGTTAATGGGATTCCTCTTTAAAGTTATTTTTGTAAGGAATTTATAATCGGTTACAATTTTAGAAATTAATGACATTTCAGCGAGTTCATTGCTGGAAAATATAGACTTCGATTGTGGGAGCCAATCCTCCTTGGAGTATTGATCTACTATTTGTCCTATCACATGCCTCGTACTAATTCAATCAGAAATCAACTTCCGGGAAGGACACTTTAAAAGAAAATTTTGCTTCTTTTAGAAATAGAATTTCCTTCGATTAATTAATGGATTCTGACGAATTAAAGATTCTGATGGTGAGATCTTTATCAAATCATTCATCCAAATTTGAGTTTGTCCATATGACTTGCACTGCATCCAAAAAACAATTCATTTTTATATCTGGCACTAACATTTTTTCTTTGCGTTTTTTCAATGATTGAACAGCATTATTGAAAATAAAGTTTTAAGTTATATATGTATATGCCCTATGGTATCCGTGTGAGAGATGCGACTCAAATGAAAATGAGATTGTGTGTAAAACATTTATTTTAAATCTTTTGATGCACACAGTTTGTGTTTTCTGCTAAAATAAGCACAGAGTTTGTGTTTTATTACTTTTTTCTCTCATGATTATCTGACTTTTTATTCAAAATAGTTTGTATTGTACATGTACGAGAGAACTGGGTTGAGATTTCCTTTGAAACAAAACCAAAGTATTTTCTATATCTGTGAAAATTGTGACATCAGCTTATGTGTGGGTATTCAAAAAACTATGATTACAATTTTTTATTAATCTGCTTATATTCTAAAACCTACATTCATCTGGACATAGTTTTCGCTATCACCAGGTAGAATCAAATAATTGACATCGAATTGAAATATGAAACAATAAAACGATGCAGAATTAATGTCTTAAAATGATGTTTGAAAACGTGGATTCAAAGTTCTATGATGCAATGTTGAAAGGCATGCGGTTTGTTAGTGTTTCTTTCACACTGCTTGCATAGTATGCACGCAGTTTGGATACCATGCCCCGATTACTATTCATTGGAAAAGCTGATAATGCTACATGGGGATAAAGTGGTTGCACAAGAATTGTTTCACTTCTGTGTTTATACTCATATGAGTGAACAGCAGGCAATTACAGGTTATTGCATAAGTGAGATCCTAGTAAAATATAATCCTTCTCAGAGCTTTACTGACTTTTCATATTTTGTATGTACTTTCAGATGCACTCCTCTGACCTTGGAGATGTAAAGCTCTGTCTTGTCTGAGAAATGTTGGATAGGAACTACAATCTGAACAGTCTGACTGCAGCATTTGTATCCACATACAATATTGCTATGACTACTTCTGGTGATGCTTTATGTGACTCAAGTAGCATTGTCTAGGAGGGATATGTCTCTAGGATCCTGATCAAGTAAGTACAGTATTTCATTTCCTAATGTTAAGTATTTCTTTCAGATTTACCTTTAGCCTGGAGTTTAAAAGCCCACTAGAATCCAAAACACAAACAGGAATCCAAACTGGCCTCTGGAAGACCGAGGCACCTGCTGGAAGACGAGCAACAAGTGGAAGCCAAGCCATCAATTGGAAGTCAAGCCAAGATGATCATCCTACAGGAAGTCAAGCTGCCCTCTGGAAGATGAGTCACCTGCGGGAAGATGAGTCACCTGCTGGAAGATGAGTCACCTACTGGAAGATGAGTCACCTACTGGAAGATGAGTCACCTGCTGGAAGTTGAGCCACCTGCTGGAAGATGAGTCACCTGCTGGAAGACAGCCACCTGCTGGAAGATGAGCCTCAAATAAGCATCAAGCCACAAATGGCAACCTAGCCATCAATTGGAAGTCAAGCAAAGATGGTCATCCTACTGGAAGTCGGGCTGTCCTCTGGAAGATTAGTCACCTGCTGGAAGATGAACCACCTGCTGGAAGATGAGCCGCCTGATGGAAGATAGCCACCTGCAAATAAGCATCCAAACTGTGTGAGCACAGGACCGTGGGTCCTTCATTACATTTTTTACTATAATTCGAAAAGTATTGGAGCGATTTTGTTCATATTTGATATGTGAATACTTAAAGCATGGCACATTGTCTAATAAAACTTCGGGGAGTAGTCGGCCATTTTGAAAAATGGCCACCATTTTTATGTTTGTTATTTTACATTTTTAATTATAATTCAAAAAATTATAGAGCGATTTTGTTCATATTTGATATGTGAATACTCGTAGGGATTGCATACTGTCTTATGACATTTTGGGTAGTAGGCGGCCATTTTAAAAAATGGCCAATATTTACATGTATGTCAGTGCGATTTTTTGAAAATTTTATATGTGGCTACTTAAAAGCATATTACTTCTTCCGATGACAACTTGGCTAGTGAGCAACCATTTTGAAAATGTCGGCCTTTCTTATGGGTGTTATTTTATGATATTTGCTATATATTTTGTTTGTAAAAATGCCAGCCATTTCTGTTCAATGGGATTCGCTCTGCTTTGGCGTTGCCGTTGTTCCGGTTTAATAATGGATGTATTTGGACATGTCATTTAATCAGTAATATGGCTCCTGTTTCATTATACTGCCAAACAAAGTTTGAGAGGGATACAAGAGAAGCCATTCATTTGACTATGTGTCCAGGCAATTACTCAAATAATGGTTGACGGATTTGATTTAAATTTTATAGGCTTATGTTTTATTGGTGCAGGACCTCTGCTCTGCTGACCGGGGTCAACCCAGTTGTCCGAAACCCAGTTGTCCGAAACCCAATTCTCCGAAACCCAGTTGTCCGAAACCCAGTTCTCCGGTAATTAGGGGATCTTATCAAAAAATACAATTTCTTAAAACGAATCTTGTCGCAACCTCTGCGAATCACGACAGCATAACATTTGAATCACGTTGACATCATTGCAAA